GGGGGGGGGGGTATTTGCCATACGTAAATGCTAATTACAGGATTAAATGACAAAAACGAATAATTGCTAAGAATAATAGTTATGTAAAACCCTGATTGGCGGAGTGACTTTCTAGCCAATAATAGTTTATTTTAAATGGCATTTAGTCCATATTGTATTTTAAAAAAAGATTATAACATAACCCTAGGAGTATGTATGTGTGTCGAGGCAGTAAATCAATAAAATGAACCGACTTTTAGAAGACAGATAACACTTTTGGTTACTAATAAATGTATTAAATAAAACATTTTTAGAGCACATAAATTGACTGAGAGTACATAGAAACATGCTCCAGGTTTTATAACTCTTCATGAATCTTTCCAAGAAACTCTTATTCTTGGTTACTTCCCTTCGTCACTGACCTCGGTCAGCTAAGTCCAATTATTCGCAAGCTCAATTAATCCAATTCGTTCTACTGAGTAACTCGTCAGAGAACAAGGGGAAAAGAAGGCATGTCAGTTATATAGTGCGCAAGTAATCATCAAATATGATTTGACATGGTGGTACTGTTACTTGGTACTAACTAATACGCTATAGTATGGTACAGTGGGGTCTCTCGTGGCCTAGAGGCTAAGGTGTTCGCCTCTCATCAAAAGGTGCCGGGTTCGAATCAGGGTACCGACCGAAAAATAACATATTTTCTAAAATTGTCTCCTTTCACCTTCTTTCCTTCTCTCTAACACTGTCGTCGCTTTCGTCTCCACTTTCTGCACCTACCCCCTCACCCACTTTGTCCCCTTATCTGGGCTCTCGACTCTCTTTGCAGCCTTTCTACAGCTAATCCTAGGCTACTTCTTACTGCTGCCTTTCAACCACACCCCTGATCTTCTGGAAGGAAAGATCTACACCTAGCCTACTTGGATAAGTGAGAAAAATCTCGGAAGTCCCGTGTGCAAATTGCGAATTAAAGATTCCTTGGTTGTCTAAAATCGATAAAAGTAGGCTTCGGCCCCACCCGGGCAAAATTCAAAATTTCCTACCAACTGAAAATGTGTCTCGCACGCTCATAATTATAACTTTACGCAGTTGCGAGCGTTATAAAACACTTACAACCCCCCCCCCCACACACACAAAACTGGTGAACCTGCACGTGGGTATGTGTATGTCTGTTAGTTTGTGTGTTTTTGTGTGTGTGTGGGTTAATAGAATGATACCTGGATACCTAGAGGTATCATCTCTGGATCATGTATTGACGTGCAATGACCGGCTAGTGTTTACAGGTTCCCGTTGTCGGTCTCCACTCTGCCATACTTAAGCCGGTCCATGCCTTCACGTTATCTCTCCACGTTGTTCTCTGTCCACCCTTGCCTCATTTGCCCCATATCTTGCCTTCCAGTATTTCTTTCATAATGGTCTGGTAGCGTCTTGTTTAACCAAAGTATTGACTTTTTTGGTACTTTTCATTTGTTATTTCTGTCTTGTATGGAGAATCTGACCAACAGCAATGTCAATTCCTCCCCCTCCCCCTTTTTTCCCTTCTTTCCAGCTGGTTCTGGCCATTCTGCGGTAGCACTATATTATCTCAAAGGCAGACATTTTTTTCTTTCTTTGTTAAAACCCAGGTCTTGGCTTCACAATAATATTATAGGAAAATAGGGACGATTTAGCATTCCACCGATTTCTTTCTTAAATATTGAGGTCATTACCTGGGTGTAAATAGTTGGTGTATTTTGCTAAATCTTGCTTTTGCATTTACTGTTCTTGAATTTATTTCGTCTGCCATCGTCTGTGACTGTTTTCCCTAAATATTTGAAATGGTGTATATGGTGGAACCCCCCCCCCCAAATCCCCAAATCAAAAGAAAATGTGATTACGTCTATTATTTTGGAAGTTGATTATTATATATGACTTTGTTTTTGATTTCTTAGCATCCCTGTGGAGGCCTACCGCTGCCTCACTAATTTTCTTTTTTTACTACTTTCACAATTCTAGAGGAAATTTTCGTTTGGATTCGCAAGCAGGACTCAATCATCTTTGTATCTCAGGTTATTAATGCAGCCACCCTCTGTAAAGACTCCCTGCAGGTCTCTAAAAGAAAACGCTTTTGAGATGATTAAAAGACAGTGGATTTTAGTACATTTATTTTGACAAGCCACTACCAACTTTAATTACTGGATTGAGCTGGTAGCAAAGGATTTCCTTTGATTCTGATATTTCTCTTCT